TGTCTGACACTCTCAAGCCCATTGCTGTAGTCACTGTGTCAATCTGACTGTCATTTGAGGACTTAAGGGTTTGCTGTCCAGAACGGTTTCACCACACATTAACTTACTTTGTCATGTGGATGGGCAGGAATATGCAACTATAATTGGTTTTGTAGTGTTGATGCTGTTGACGGGGACAGGTCCCCTTTGTGTAGTTTGTAACAGTCAGATATGGCCGTCTCCATGCAGCCCTTGCTCTTTGCCCAACTGCCAATCTGGGCTCTACCCTCTAAAACTTATCTATCCATGTTCCTCTATTATTCACAGGGTTTTCAGAGGCTTGTTATTTCAGAAGTGGATAGCCAAGCCTGCTTCCTAGTCTGTCTTAATCTGGAAGCTCCACAAAAGCCTATTCACCATGAGTGACCCCTCTGGCATTTGACATACTGGTGGCACAACTTTCAGCATCACAGCAACCCATAAGTCACCTCAGTACAGAAAACAGACAGACAAGTGATGTACTAGAATACACTTGAGAATCAGATTTTGTGATTTTTTTTTACTCTAATATATAATCATCCCTAACTCTATTAACACTAGGTAACATTCTTCAATAAATGGTAAATAAAAAATGAAACAGTGTAAAAAAAAATATTTGTTAGGAAATGGTAAAGTCCAAGAGAGAGTTTGCAAGCATAAGAAACAAGTAAAATGTAACTTTCTAATGTGTTTCAGCAAGAAAAAGTAAAGCTGCTGTTTTGGTGTAAATTTGCCAGTTACAGCTAGCGGTGATTTTCTTGTCAACAATCTTGGGACTGTGAACTATGCAGAGGAGATCTGTTGTAGGACAACCGATCATGTATGAATATCATTTTCTATTAAGTTTAAATATTTTGCAAATTAGGTTTCTGAATCAGAAAAAGCTTTTTTGAAAATCTGTTCTGAGCCTCACTGAAGGCCATATTATTTCTAAAAATACTTTTTAAAAAATATTTTCAATTATGCTAAGAATAACCAAGTACAGATCCAAATACGTTCATTACAAGTATATCTGATCACAGGTAGAAGAATTCTTTTTCTTTAACTTGTTTGGTAATCCTTGCAGGATTATTTCACTAAGAATTGTGTCAACATTCTTCATTATCATATGTTGCTGCAATGTGCCATCAAGTCAAAACTAACTGAGAACTGACCTGCATTTTGGACTTTTAGAGGCAGTAAATTGCAATGGAAGAAGTTGCCTATCTCTGTCCAGTGGAACAACTAGTAGACTCAAACCACGTACCTTTGGGTTGACAGGGCAGGTCCCTACCACTGAGTCACCAGAGCTCCCAAGTTATCACATATAACTGACTAAAATTTAGATACTATAATTCTTTCTGAAGAGGGATTGTAGGCTTCTAATGTTTTATTTTACTCAAAATGAATTCTGAGATGAAACATGTTTCTTTAAAAATCTCTGCTGCTATTTTATTTTATAATAAGCAGAGTAAGTCTGAATAATTTTTAAAAACATCTAGTACACCTAAAACAACATTTCAGTTCTGTAATAAATTATTCGGTATTAATAAACAGCTTCGCTTAATTTCGATTTCATATAGACAAACCAGGCCTTTACCTTAAACAGATGTCTAAAATCCAATCCTCTAACCTTTCCTCCCTTTACCCTCAAAGCCAGCCAACACACGTTCACAGACCTTCACACATTCTCACCAGTAGAGTTTTGAAGAAGCAGATTTGTTTTGTATTTATGTGGTTTATCTTCAGGTTTCAGGAAATACAAGTCTGGAGCAAGTTTTATAGGAGTCACTGCATTTTTAAAAGAGTGATGCACAAAAAACATAAAAATCTGAACTGCAAAAAATATTAAAAGCAGAAGCAACCTGAAAAGAAAAGAGAATTGAGAGGGTCAGTTCCCACTGGGATGAGAATTTTGTCCAAGTGCCCCTTCCATGCAATCACTGAAAAGAAAACAGGGGAAGGGATTTACAAAAGGAGAATTTCAACTCCCCAAAATGATGCCATGTCCATTAGCTGACAGAAAGTCACTATTAAGCAACAAAACCAAAAGTTCTAGAAGTATTTTCTAGATCAGAGTCCTGAATTTTTTTAGAACATGCAAATATATTGTTATAATTTAAAAATTAGAACACTATCACTTTTTGGGTCTAGTCTATAGAAAGAATCATTTCTAGCACTGTATTTTGGTCATTTACTTCACATATATTGACAGTGCTATTTCAGATACAAGGAAGAAAATAAAAATACAACAATCTATTGAATGATTGGTATCATTGAAATAATCAAGTTTTATTCTAATCACAATTTAATCACATTAACTAAAAATGCTCCTTTCTCACAGAAGGTGTACCACATTGACTTACAAGGACCACCATTTTCACTAGATCAAGCAAATAATTCTATCACCCATTCAAATGTTCTTTTATATGAAAGACCACTACTTGTCCTGAAAAATACCCCTACAATTTATGTGATAGGTAGGTTCAAGAAGTTGGTACACAGCTAAGATTATCAGACTTCCTTTAGCATATAATAATATTGGGACAGTCCATACTATGTACAAATCAGTGATAAGCTGTCTCTGTTGTTACGTGCCTTCTAGTTGGAATCAACTCACAGAGCCAAGCCAAAGGTGGTGCCTCTTTGGTGGTTCAAATCCATCATCAACTCCTTGGGAGAAAGACAAGCAATTCCCTCCCTCGTGATTTACAGCCTCCCCAAAACTCCCTGGTGGTGCAGCGATGCTGTTGTTGCTATGTACTGTCAAGTCAGAACCAACTTATAGTTGACCCTCCAGTGTGTTTTCAAAGGCTGGGAATAATGTGGGAGGAGACCGCACATCCTTCTCCCTCAGAGCTGCCAGTGGATTTGAACTACGTGTCTTTTTGGGTTTGCCACACCAGCTCCTCACCGCTAGGCCACAGAGGCCTGAGTCGGGTCCAGCCCAATGGCAATGAGTTGAGTACTCATCATGCTGGCTTACAGTATATTTTTTTTGTTCAGTAGCACTAACATGTTGGAAGGAGGAGTGGCGTCCACTTCCATAATAGCTTGCCTCTGGAAATCCTATGAACCTGGAGAGAGGATGAAAGGCACCCAAGCGTCGAGGACTCTCCTTCATAGGGTCGCTATGAGTCGCCTGCAACTTGACAGCACTTAACAACAACAACAACAATACTAACATGAGAGCAAATCAGACACGTCACTGACAGATTAAATAAACCTGATAGATTAAAAACATAAGACAGACAGATTAAACATTTTCAAACTTATAACCACTGTCTTCTTCTTGACTACGAAGCTTTATTTCTAGTGCCTCTGTGGAGCTCACAAAATAGGGGTGTGGGGTGTGAATACAGTTAAAGCACATTACTACAAATCACACTCACTAACACACAGCCCCAGGGGAACTGAGAGGGACTAAAGGTGAGCTAAGCTGTCATTATTATCTCAGTGGGGCCAGCTATGGGCTGTTCTTCATATCTCTGCTTTGTCTCTTGCCACTTACAAAAGGTGGTTAATAAGTATCATCTAGTGCAAAAATGGTAAGTACATAAATCCAAAATAAACTCTGGAAAGTAAAGCAAATCTTCTTGTTTTGCATTACATTATTATTAGTGTTAGGTGCTGTCCCACCAACCAATACCCTGCTGAGAGTGGGCCCACTGTGACAGCCCGGGTGCGGGTCCATCTCTTACTAAAGGCGCCCCTCCTTTTCCCTGACCCTCCACTTCACTAAGCATGAAGTCCTTTTCCAAAGACTGGTCCCCCCGATCACATGTTCAAAGTGCTTCAGATGAATTCCTGCCATCCTCGTGTCTCAGGTGCACTCCGATTTGTTTATTCTTCTGGCAGTATATTCAGTGTGGTGGTGGTGGTGTTGTTATAGTGCACCATCAAGCTGGAACAGACCAAGCTGACCTTGCGGTGGGTTTTCAGAGGCAGTTAATTACAACAAGAGGAGATTGCCCACCCTTCTCCCGTGGAGCATCTGGTGGATTTGAACTGTGTACCTTTGGCATTGCAGTGCAGCTTCTTGCCATTAGGCCACCAGTGCTTCATAGCCAATATGAATTGTATTTAATAAATTTAATTAAAAATAAATATTTCAATACACAGATATAAATCTATTTAATGAGTATCTATATAAACACTTTCATATATTTACTCAAATTTAAATTAATTAAATATAATTAGTATTAAATAAACTGTCAGAAGAATGAACAAATCTGCCTTGGAAGATGTGTAATCAGATATTCTTTGCCTATATCAGAATTTAAAAACATCAATTCTAAGGGTACCCTGTGTAATTACTCAGTCACAAAAAGGATAGTTATTTTTCCTTTGCCCTTTAGAAATTAGAGCTTAAACTTGTAAAACTACAAAGATTATTTATATATGTCCTAGAGAGGGTTAAACCAGGCTACTCCTTGGAGGCAAGGATTCTGGGGCTTCGTCTGACATACTTTGGACATGTTGTAAGGAGAGACAGGTCTTTAGAGAGGGACATCATGCTGGGTAGAGTAGAGGGACAGCACAGGAGGGGAAGACCCTCTATGAGGTGGATTGATTCAGTGACTGGGGTACTCGGGATGGGTGTGTCAGAGGCAATGAGATTGGCACAGGATAGAGCAGGGTTTAGGGCTGTTGTACATAGGGTCGCTATGAGTCGCAAATGACTCAACGGCACTTAACAACAACAACAACAACTGCATTTAAAATATTAACATGGTAAATCACATTTGGTATGGAATGAAAAAAAAAAAAAGAAAAAACTCCTTTGACAAAAGAATGCGTATACTTACACTGATCTCACCGATTTACTTTCACGTTTCAGGGTGAGAAGATGAAACTTCGCTACTGTGAACACCTGCTGTTTCCAAAGGCTCATGGTGCTCATGAGAGAAGCCTTGGTCTCGGAGAGAATGAGTAAGCTCTGCTCCATTTCATCAAAAGCTTTTGAGTCTGTATCTTCCTCTGCTGGCTGCTGCGTGAATACACTGTAATCTATTTGCCAAAACAAACAAAAAGAGGCCAGACAGGAAATTGTGGCATACTCCTTAGAAAGAGAAAAAGCTTTCTTGAAAGCTGTAACTTTGAAACTTCTCTGGCAATGATGTGGAGAAGGTAGAACTCTCCTGCACTTCTGCATTACCTACTAAAGCTGAATAAACACGTATCTTACGACCCAGGAAATCCTTCAGTAGTACAAACTTCACAGAAATGTATACAGAGGTTCAACAAGATGTCTGTGCAAGAGAGTCCCCAGTACCCTTATGCAAAAGAGTCATAAGCTGCAAAGATCGAATTATCCATCAACAAACAGGCAAATGGCTACGTTGTGAAACAGTGTTATAATGCAACTGTATAAAATGCTGAATGGTGAATGACTGTACAGCTACACATAACAGCACTGCTGAATTTTACAAACATAATGCTGAGTAAAAGAAGTCAGAAGGGAAAGAGACAATTTCATGAGTCTGTTAGTCCACAAAACAGCAAAACTAACTGACAGAAATCAGGATATGTTCTTTTTATAAGGTCGCTCAACATTTATGCAAAATGTGAATTTGGAGAGAATCAAGACTTTTACTACAAACGATCATCCGTTTCCTTGACTCACAACCATCTTATAAATCATCAAATACGGGAAAAATACTTTGAACTGACATTTGCCTCAAACTTCACAGATCCGCCTCTGGTTCTTACCACACCACTGAAATTGCTCATGGAGGTCATTACTGTCTTCGCTACTAAATCCCTTACTCTTTTTTGTTGCCATCTTTTCAGTCCTCATTCCATTCCACACATGCTAACAAACAGCTCATCTCTTCTACTTCTTGAAATTACTTACTTTCTTGCATCTCCACTCTTGAGAGAGAACCATTAGTTGCTCCTTTTAAGTGACGTCTTATATCTCTGCTTTTTTTGTGATTCATTCGTAATTTACAAAAAGTTTTTTTTTAAAATGAAAATTAGACTCTGATAGCTTCATATTGTGAAAAGAAAATAAAGCCATTTTTTCCCCTATTCTTAAGGTCTAACCTAATCTTTCCCCTGGCCAACTGATCTCTTTGGGTCCTATACACTCCTTAGTTTTCTCAGCTCTGGTTCGAATCTACCAGCTGCTTTATAGGAGAAAGATGACATGGAGGTCAATGTCCTCTGGCATGATTTGTTGTTGTTATGTGCCGTCGAGTCGCTTGCGACTCATAGCGACCCTATGTACAATGGCCCTAAACTCTGCTCTGTCCTGTGCCAAACGCACTGTCTCTGACACTCCCATCCCAATTATCCCAGTCACTGAATCAATCCACCTCATAGAGGGCCTTCCCCTCCTGTGCCGTCCCTCCACCCTCCCAAGCATGATGTCCTTCTCCAAGGACCGGTCTCTCCTTACAACATGTCCCGCATGATTTACAGCCTCTGAAAACCTGCTGGAAACCAGCTATACATCGTTTCTAACTCAACGGCCACGAGGGGGTCTCCTCGGTTCTACACCCACCTGCTCCAGTCTACCACCTGATCTCACTGAGTACTACCTTCTCCTGGGCTCTCTCAGCTCTAATTATTTTGACCTTTTCCTTAACCCTCCTTTTTCTATTAAGAGCTCTGCATTAGCAATTCCTTGTGTCTGAAACGCTCTGTCCTAATATCTTTATCTTCTAGATCTTTTTCTGTCATATGTGTCTCATTGTGAATGTCGTATCAACAAAGCCCCATTGGCCTTACCATCTAAACCAGCAGCCTCCCAAGATTATTGAATTATTTCCTTCATAACTCTTATCACTACCAGAAAATATCTCGATTACTTATTTACCTCTGTATTTTTCTCCTTACTCCCTCAAAATTCTACAAATGTAACACACTCATGTAATTATTGCGTGGTTCAATTCCAAAAATGGTTGGTTTGCTTCTTTACCTGCTTGGTCAATTTCTGCTTCAACTTCCAGCTTTAAGAATACATCTTCCAAAGTTGTCATGGAAACACCGTAAGAAATAACACCCAAACTAGAATGAGTGTCTAAAGCAGAAAACAGACCTAAAAGGGGGAAAAAACAATGTAAAAGACTATAGGTAAGCATAATTCCATTAATTTTAAGAAATACAGAACTAGAGTTATCTAGATAGCACAGCGATTCACAGTCTGGTCTTCAAACTCCTTTCTCACTCTTAGAAATCACTACAGTTTCAATAAGAGGATATTGTTTTTCATTTTTGCAATCTCTTTAATGTCCATTCTTTTTCTAGAATGCAGACACATTCACTTCTGTGTTCAATCTACTATGACGGTGCACCTCACATGGTCCCTGGAGAACACCACTGAACGCACGTAAGAGACCTCTGATATCGTGTGTGTTGAGTATAACATTAGTCCTTAAGTCAAAAAAATGTGACTGCACGAATTCCAATAAAGAATCATCTCCTGAGGGATTCCTAGAGTGCACTGAAAGCCTGTGTGACAAGTTATCAAGACATCTGCGGGGCAACAAAATATGAGGCTAAGAGCAAGAGTCCTAGGATGAGTGAGTTTGGGTCCAAAATTCAGCCTGATCATTTTCTGCCTCATTTCAGTGAACTTACCTTTCTATGCTTCAATTTTCTCAGTTACAAAGTGGAAATACGACACAACAGTCTTTACCATTGCACAGTTCTTGAGATACTGTGATAATCATTAAATGAAGAATTGTGAAAGCCTAGACTAGCATCTCACATACAATTAGTGTTACTTACTAAAACTGAGGATAGGTAAGTAAGTAGACAGAATAACAAGAATTAAATTCTCTTATATGTTTGCATCAAGTTAATGAAAGATTTCTTTTTAGAACTGATAGGCCTGATACAATTTTATATAATCATGAAATAGATGCTGTGGAAACTCTTGACAACACATACACCCACTGCCAAAGAATCTATTCTGCCTCATCGTGGCACCATCGGGCTTATTGGGCTGTAAACCTTTCGGGTAGGAGACTGCTAGCCTGCTGCCCAGGAACAGCTGGCAGATTCACTGGCCTTCTGGTCAGCAGCCCCACAGAGTGCTAATGCCCTCTGCCACCAGAGACCCTTGAACAGCATAGACACACTAGTAATAGTCCTCTTCTACTAAGAGATTCTCAAACAGAGGAAGATATTTGAATTCCTTATGATGAAGCAGGAAAATATCACCTCAATAAATAATTCCTTGCAAAGATGTCAGTCTGGAGACTAAGGTGTGCCTGATACATGCCATGGTCTTCGTAATCACTTATTATGCATAGGAGAGCTGGACAATGATTAGGGAGGCTAGAAGGAGAATTGATGCCTTTGAGCTGTGGTGTTGGAGAAGAGCATTGAATATACCATGGACTGCTAGGAAAACAAACAGGTTAATCCTGGAGAGGGTTAAACCAGGCTGCTCCTTGGAGGCAAGGATTCTGAGGCTTTGCCTGACATACTTTGGACATGTTGCAAGAGGGACCAGTCCTTGGAGAGGGAAGTCATGCTTGGGAGGGTAGAGGGACAGCGCAGGAGGGGAAGGGCCTCTATGAGGTGGACTGATTCAGTGACTGGGGTAATAATGGGGGCAGATGTATCAGAGATAGTGAGATTGGCACAGGATAGGGCAGACTGTTGTACATAGTGTCGCTTTGAGTCATAGGCTATTTGATGGCACATAACAACAACAACAACAACCACCACCATATAATTCATTATGAAATCATGAAACTGCCAAAGAGCTTGATATATACACAAACAACTATATACAGATAAACATACATGCCACTGTTGTTATGTGCCACGTCAAAACTCACAATTCACCCTCTCACGGGTTTCTAAGGCTCTAAATTGCCTGAAAGGAGACTGTCTATCTTCTCCTGATCCCTGTGCCTCTATACCTTTGTCGTGCAGCAGCTGGTAGATTCAAACTGATTAAAGGCATGGGCTTTGAGTTAACAGCACAACTTCCTACAGACAAGGTCACCAGATACAACAATATATATGCATATTCCCAGGAGGTCTCAAAATGAACTTGGAACACTTTCTTTCATTCTCCGTAACAGTTATTTTTTACGTATTGTTCAGTCATTTAAGGTTTCTGTACAGTGTTAGGGTGGCAGAACAGGGTCTGGTGACATAGTTTGTGAGAGGTGCCCTGCTAACTGGCAGTTCGAATCCACAAGCAGCTCTTTGGGAGAAAGTTGTGCAATTGTCTCCTGTCCAAGTTTCAGCCTCAGAAACCCACTGGAAGGTGAGCCGTAAGTCAGCTCTGATTAGACAGCAGTGGGTTTGAGTACAGAACATTGTTGTTGTTACCGATTCTTAGCTGGCCCTCCTGTGGGTTTTCAGAGGCATTAAATCACCTGGAACCTACCCATCTTTCTCCCACAGAGCAGCTGGTGGATTTGAACCGTGTTCCTATTGAAAGGCAGTCCTGCTCCTTAACATTAGGCTACGAGATCTACTAATACAATACAATAGTCTGTCATATTTTTGTTTTCCAAAACCAAGAATAAAGGAGAAAGAGATAGTTAATTCTTGCCACATGGAGCATAAAATCATTACACTAAACAGTAAAAAGGGTAAAACAAAACAAAAATCTATTTTCAATGCAAGATCCTCATTCAACAACTGAGAAACACGAAGTGGGTAATACCTGAAAATTTGTCCATGTCCTTTAAAGGCAAGCTGTAGACGAGCTGCTGGTCATTCTGCTGTAACACAGTGGCTGCAGGTATGTGCTGTTTAACCAGTGAAGAGAGAGACTCGGTGGCACAGAACTGGTCTATGTACATGCTGGAGAGAAGCAGAAAGCACACGCAGACTCAGGGAGCCACGAGGGCCGGCAGTTCTGAATGTCGTAACCTAACTTCAGTGTCCTCAAAGACAGCGAGACATACACGAAGGCAAACCTTAACAACATTAACTACAGATGCAGACACAAGGACAATAAAGAATGAAGGTAATACCTCAGACGGTAGCCAACGCCCCATTTACTTTTGAGAAAAATTGAAGAGCCAACACATTTCAACATTCCTTGGGATATGACAGCTTTCCTATCTGCAAACAAGAGATTTACATGTCAACTTCCAAATGAATAACACGTTAATAATTGGCATTTATAGTTCATGGATTACCCCACGAGAGTTGCCTCTGTCATATCTCGGTAAATCACCCGAGCGCCCCATGTGAGGTTACCAGATTATTATCACTTGTCTTTCAGATGACACTAGATCAACAGGAAAATGCACTCGTTGACCACAATTCATGGTTAGCAAGTGGCATTGCTGGAATGTACACCCAGACAGTCTGTCTCTACAACTCACTTTCTTTACACTGTACAAAATACCTCAGATCCTGCTTTAGACAGGGAAAGGAAAAACCAAACAAACAAGGGCTTTCACAATCAACTTTTAACTAAATGTAAAAACAATTTCAAAAAAAAAAGACAAAGGAATTACAACAAAAACAAAATGCTACTGAAGAGAGTCAGGGACCTGACTGATTTATCAAATGATTATATAACCCACTGTAGTTGAGTCGATTCTGGGACCCTAACGCTCTGAGCAGAACTGTCACAGTGGATTTCTGCAGCTGTAAATATTAACAGGCATTGATTGCCTCATTGGCTGGTGGGTTCAAACTGCTGATTAGCAGTTCAATACCAGAATTTTTAGATTATTTGTTGTTATTGATTGTCTTCGAGTCAAACATGACTCCTAGCGACCCTATGAACAAAAAGCCTGAAGCCCCTCTACAACTATTGACATTTATCAAAGTTCATAGAGTTTCTGGAGGCAAGTTATTTAGGAAGTGGATGCCACTCCTGCCTCCAAACCTGTCATAGTATGGTATTGTTTTTATGTGCCACTGAGCCGCCTGGGATGTACAGAAGCTCTGACCCCTTTCCTGTCCTGAGCCAGTCTCACTAACTCTGACACACCATACTCCATCGCCCCAGTTACTGTATCAATCCATCTCCTCTGGAGTCTCCCTCTCCTGTGCTGTCCATCCACCCTTCTGAGCATGATGTTCTTCTCCAAGGACCTATCTCTTCTGGCCACGGGCCCAAAGTAAGTGAGCCTTCAAGGAGAGACTTGGTTTCACCCCATTCGAGACAGACGTATTTGTTTTCTTGGCAGTCCATGGTATGTTTAAGACTCTTCTCCAGCACCACAACTTGAAGGCATCTATTCTTTTTCTGTCATCTGTAGTCATTGTCCACCTCTCTGAAGCATAACAAGTAATTGAGAAGACCATGGCCTGGGTTAGGTGCACCTTTGTATCTAGACTGACATCATTGCTCTTCAGCACTTTGGAGAGGTCCCTAACAGCAGATTTCCCCAATGGAATTCATCTTTTGATTTCCTAACTGCTGGTGTTAATTTAAGAGTTTTGATTGTGGATCCAAGCAAGCTGTAATTGTTAACAACCTCAATCTCTTCTCCATCTATTATGGTGCTGCCAATTGGTTCAGTGGTGAGTATCTTTGTCTTCTTGATGCTAAGCATCAATCCATATTGAAGACTATAGTCCTTGATCTTTTACAACAAGTACTTCAGGTCTTCTTCAGTTTCAGCAAGCAAGGTTGTGTCATCTGCATATTGTAGGGTGTTAATGAGTCTTCCTCCAATCTTGATGCCACATTCTTCCTCATAAAACCCTGCTTCCCAAATGATCTGTTCTGCATACAGACTGAAAAGGTATGGGGACAGGATGCATCCCTGACACACTTCTTTCTTGATTTTGAACCATGCAGTGTTTCCTTGCTCCATTCTGAGGACTGCTTCTTGATCCAAGTATAGGTTTAGCGTAAGGACAATCATGTGTTCTGAGATTCCCATTTTCTTCAAGGTTAGCCACAATTTATTGTGATCCACCCAGTCAACTGCCTCTGCATAGTCAATGTGACATAGACATTCTTCTGGTATTCTTGCTTCCTGCCAAGATCCATTTGACATTTAGATGATTTAGTAAGCAGAAAAAATATTGCTCAAGAATTTCTCTTAGACCTTGTCATTTGCTGATTTGAAACTTGGCTCTTTACACATGTATATGTATGTAAAATTATGCAGAAAAGAATTACAATTGGTCTGATGCTGCTATCCTTTGAAGGGCCTGCTAATAGGATTGTCCCTGGCTGCTGTGTGGAATCTTGATTTACTGGAGGAATCCCACTAATCCTAGAACAGGTAAGAGTGGTTCACTGTGTCTCATGATACAAATAACATGATCTCTGCTAAACAAGAGCTTTCTGCCTTTTGTTGCGTCCAGTAGAGTTGGAACCCACCCGTGGCTGACACTCCGGCAGGTTTTCAGAGCCATTTAATCACACAGGAGGCGGCTGCCTCAAGCTTCTCCCACAGAGCGGCTAGTCGATTCAAACCATGTGCTTTTGTGATTGCAACGCTGCCTCTTGCCACTTGGCCACCTCACTCACTGGCCATCGGGTTAATTCCGATGGGGAGCAAGCCTCCCTCCGGTGTTCTCATCTCAGTGGGAGGAGACGACTGTCTTTCTCCCATGGAGCTTCTGGGGGATTCAAACCTCCAGAGACACACATGTGCTTCTGGTTAGCAGCACAACAGGCTATGGACTTGTTACGTGGTTCACTCACTCACTCACTTGTTGTTGTTGAGTGGGAACCAACTCACAGCAGACCCTTCACTGAGTTTCTGAGAGAGTACATTTCATGAGAGGAGATTACCCATCTTTCTTCTCTGGAGCTGCTGGTGGATTTAAACCTCCAGAGGCCCACGGCCTTTTGATGCCTGGAGCACCCGGCTGCCGACGAGTCACATGACTAGCATCCATTCAGAATTAGGGGGGCATCTCGGCCGCTCTGGTGGGCCAGCCTGGAAGCACGCCTCCCTGGTGGTTCAAGTCCACCTGCTGCTCTGAGTGAGAAAGAGGAACAATCTCCTTGTCTGCAATGTCCAGCCTCACGAGGGCTACAGCGGGGCTGTCTGTGAGTCAGTTCTGACTGGGCAGCAGCTGGGTGAGCTGTGTAGCTCCCTGGGAAGGGGCTCCTGGAAGCATGTACCTGGGTTCCCTCCACACTCTGCTGCCAGGGATTCTCCCATGTGCTGACTTCCCTTTGTATTCTTCTGCTGTCAGAGCTCAGAGCTGTTAGTATAGCTGTGTACTCTGAGCTCACATAACAAATCACTATACTCAGGGCAGTCTGGGTTACCCTGAAGACAAAAATGAAGTTTGAAAGTGTTGAAATCATTTTGATGAGGAGTGTACAACACAAGCATCTTTCTTTATTCCTCAGGATTTTATGCCAAGTTCCTCTCCCTTTCAGCCCAATGGATTTATCTGTCAGAAATAAGGAAAATACCTCACCAGCAAGAATGTCAGCTTCATCCATGAAGTGAGTACTGAACACTGTCACCCGATTGGCTTTTCTGTATTTGAGAAGATTCCAGACAATATGGCGAGAGCAGGGGTCCATTCCGGCTGTCGGTTCATCCAGCAGTAGGATCTGTGTGGAAAGGAGCGGAGAGGAGCAGAAAATCCTCAGAAGAACGAAACAATTTCAAATTCTTTGGCTTACTGAAAATTTTCTCATGCCAGGTTCTTTTTTCCCAGCCAGAAATAAATATATTAGATCTGAGTTTTTCACCTATCTTTGAGTTATATATTTATTAAAAGCATCAGTTTAGTAGGTAAATATCTTACTAGGTGGACTTTTCTTTTTTTCAATTCTTTTTTTACTTTTTTTTATTAATTTTAATGACAGTTTACAGACACTTAGGGTTTCCAATCATTCATTGTTGCACTTTTTTCCCTGCCCACCCCTTCCCCCCAATTCACTCTTCTTGAAAAGAAAAACTCTTTCATCGTTATGCAATCCACCACCACCCCCAACCAGGTCCACTCTTCAAGTCTATGCAGTCTTCACTCTGGACTCCTGTCATGACAATAATACCCAATCACATATCCCTTTTAAACAGTTCTCTCCCTCATCTGTTTCAATGCAGTATACATCATTCCTCCTCTCCTTCTCTGTCTTCCCCCCAACCCCGATGTAAGTCCCATTAGGTTTACTTTTCAAAGGTCAGAATCTTTACTGCATAAGCCATAAATGTCATAAGAATCAGAGAAACAAAAAGAAATGAAGTACATGAGTTATTTGAAGAATCATATTTTATAGATGTAACAACTGCTTAGTAGTAAAGTGCTAACTTCAAGGGAAGCAATTTGTTCTAAACGCTTTCTTAATTTAAAATCTCGGCGGTAGTGGTTGGGGAGAAGATGAATGCTGACTCATCCTCACGCCCCGAAGCAGCGGAGAATGCAGAGGATGGTGGGGACAACAGTGACTCCTGGCAGGAAGCAGGGGCCTAGCAGCTTTCTTGGCGCAGAATACCTCTGCTGGCTCCGTTTCTGCAGTATTGGGAATGCACAAAACTTACTCAAGATCAAAGGAGAACTAAGTCAACTATTGGTCTGTACTCTTCCAAAGTAAAAGAGAAAAACCCCCAAGAGCCCCAGGAAGATAAGCAGTCTACAAGACACCACCTCACCTACTTTGGTAACAGAACTAGAAAGTCCCCAGTTCCCCCCTACAGACCATTTCCACCAGGGACAGACCCAGCTAGGTGGTCCCAGAGAGAACTGCAGGGGGGGCATGATGGAGACAAAGATAAACGAAAACTCAAACTCCCTTTTTTTGTTTTTTTGGTTGTTAGTAAGGTTATATTTTTTTTCCTTATCACTCAGATAACTAGAAAAGGACATAAGGCTACATGTCAATTATTCAAAATCTCCTTAAGGGAAAGTGTACATTTCTGCCTCTCCAGTACCTAGCAATACATGTGGCAAGAGTTAACTTCAAACTCATTGCCATCTAGTCACTTCTGACTCACAGTGACTCTATATGGAGTTTCCAGGACTGCAAATCTTTTTTTTTTTAATTAATTTTCATGAACGTTTACAGAGATTTTGGATTTTCATACATTCATTGTTGCATTTTTCTCCCTGCCCACCCCTCCCCCCAGTTCGCACATCTAAAAACTTCTCCAACAGAGTAAAAAGGGAAGCCACAGTTTGGGAAAAAATATTTGGTAATGACATGTTAGATAAGGGACTCATATCTAGAATTTAAAAAAATACTCGAGCACCACAACAAGATAAAGGTAAATAACCCAGTTGGAAAATGGGCACAGGATATGAACAGACACTTCACCAAAGAAGACAGTCAGATGGCCAACAAACACATGAAGAAATGTTCAAAATCCCTAGCTCTAAGAGAGATGCAAGTAAAAACAACTATGAGATATCATCATCTCAAACTCCTTTCAAAAGGGCCAGACTTAATGGACTAGTGGAAATAGCAGGAAATCCTGAAACTTATCACCCTGGAGACCCTTTGGGCTCAGCACACACGTTACTGTGGGAAGACACCTTTCGGCAAATGACAGAAGACTGGCTCAGAAAACAAACAGCAGGATCTGTGAGGACAACACTCCTCTGAAGAGTCATCGAAATGAACAGGAAAGACCAATGAAAATGGAAGTACCACAGTGGAAAGAATGAGAATATGGGGATATTGCAGAAAATGTAACCAATGTCACTGAAAAATCTGTACAAATTCTTAAATAAGAACCTAAGGTATTACATCTCCTTTCACCAAAAACAGAATAAATATTTTTTTAAGTAATAAAGCAACAGAAATAGGAACAAATTAAACCACTTTTGTGAGTTTTTTAATAATAAACTACTTTAAGGTATATTTTTAAGAAAAGTATAAAGAATAGAATATACATTGTAAGAAAAGTATAGAGAATAAAAAGGTAAAAAGATTCAACTATAATATAAATGTTATATTTTACTATATGTTTGTTATTCCAATCTCTTTTAAGGAAATAAAACATTACAGGTTCAACATCCTGCCTTTTTCATCCTAGAACTATTAATATAATAAACACATTGTACAGCTTTATCATTACAGCTGAAAAACCTTATTGTGTGATGGCTATGTTTATAGTAATTTATATTCTTTTACATATTTTTAATTGACATAAATATAGCCCACATGTTTTCTACAACCTGTTTCCTTTTCAGCATAATTTAAAATCATCCCATCAGCGAAAGGAACATTTGCTTACCTTAGGGTTCCCAAGTACAGCAATTCCTAAGGACAGCTTTCTTTTCTGACCACCGCTTAACTTTTTAGCTTGATTATCTTTGATCGCCTGCATGTCCAAATCCAGTAACACCTTCTGCACCTGTGAGTAAAGCGCGAACAAGGCTATTTTTAAAATCACACCATTTGTGTAATTATCAGCATTAATTTTAAAATATTCCAATTTTTAGATCAACTTTTAAAATGCTCTTTAGTATGGAATTTAGTTTTAACATATGTTCATATATCATCTTGAAATAGCAGATTGCAAGCTCCCTGAGGGAAATGTCTGTTTTACTTTTGTGACTCAGTGAATTAGCTAGGAAGAGATAAGAAGGGGTCACCATGTGTGTTGGGGAAAATGACAGATGCAAAAGAAAAGGGAGAAAAGATGACTGGTTACGTACACTGAAACATTTAGTCTCAATTCCACCTATTTCTTACAATGACTTTCTAGTATTGGCTCAGAAGAGACTGGGGGTTTGGGTTTTGTGTTTAGATTTTCAAACATATTTTTTACCATACAATACATTTCAAAAGGTTATTCATTTACACGAAACAAAAGGAGAGCTTTCTGTATGAGTAACCTACTTCTTGTATTATATTGTTGGCTGGTATTCCTTTGATTGAAGCCAAAATTGATAAGTTTTCTTCTACTGTCAGAACATCAAAGTGTATATCTAACTGTGGACAAATGCCAATCATTTTTCTTGCTTCAAACATTTCATCTATCTCTGAGACTCTGTGTCCATATATAGATGCAAACCCTAAAAGCAAAATATATTTACATTTATATTAAGTATATTATTTTAAAATTATATATACTTTAACTTCTCCTAATAACTGTTTGTTAACAGACATACAAGGCAACATTTGTATAAATGTGGATATGAAGCACCATCTTGACCATGTGCTTTCCCTCTTGCTGCAGAGTGATTCGCATTTCCAGGTCAGATACCAGTGCACAGAGCAAAGCACTCCAAGGCTCACGGTAAGCAGCACTGTCTTCCACTTACTTGTACTTCAAGTATATTCCTTTTGCTTACATTCCAGTAATCATTTATTTCCTTTCCAGGCCTTAAGAAATAGTGGAAAAGAGAAGCTAAAATTTTTCCTTTACTAATTCTGCTGTCTTAGGGAAATTGCTGTGAAAATGTCAGCTTTTCTCAGTTTTAAAACCAGCGATGATGCAATCATACAGTACTAATACCCACAATGCAGTCTGTGAACTGGAGCACCGAGGGGCATGGGCCCTGTGTGAACGCCAAGTGGCGTTCCCCCCTGGCTCTGCTTTCCCCCCACCAGCATCACACAAGCTTCTGGGCTTAGCAGTGATCCTCCACGTTTTGAGGAGGATGTGCTTTTGTGCTTAGCTCTCAGTCAGCAAGGTCTCCATCTCTAGATGTGATTGCACCTCTTTCCCCCTTTTCTAGCCTGGAGCTACCATGGAGTTCACCCTTCAGGAGCGTGGACACTGCCCTGCTTTGGTTCTGAAGACCATCATGGCTGCCAAGTGTGACTTAGATAAATTGTGAGTAATAACATTCACTACTTTTCCCTCTTTGTATTATTAACTTTTTGTTGTACTTCCTAATGGATATTTCTCTTTGATTTCTTCTGACTGTTATCACTAGTTTGGCTATGCATGGAAGCTGTGATGCACTTTATGGTAAGATCTGTTCAACAGACGGTAACATTTTTCAACAGAAGGTAGCATTACAACACTTCAGGTGCATTACATTAGCTATCACCACCTCCAAGCGAAAGCATGCACCGGTATGGTACCATACGTCAGACAGAAGTAAAGTGCAGTGCGTATACACAAGGCACTAAGATAGGTGTTTATGAGGACTATTGACATCTATGTATTATTACAGGTTATACAGGGGCTAGACAACAACATAGAGCTTCGGAGGACAAGTGTCTCACCCGTCAGCCAATGTGCTGGAGACAAAGGGAAGGAGGAAGACTCTCCGTGTTAAGATTTAAGGCCTCAGCAACCCACTGACGCACCATTATGAGATGGAACTGACACCAAAAGCCCTGAGCTGAGGTTTGAGGTGCACTCATGTGATACACTGGTGTGTGTATATATCTATACTGTACTATACCCAGAGATCACACCCTTGGGAACCCAAGGGCTGCCAGAAGCAGGAATTAACTCAGTGACAGTGGTATTAGGCTCCATAACCTTATGGAACCCTCGTGGCACAGGGATTAACATCTTTGGCTGCCTAGCCAAAAGGTCAATGGTTCAAACCCACTCCAGGGGAGAAAAATGTGGCAGTATGCTTCCAGAAATATTTACAACCTTAAAAACCCTGACGGAGTCACCCTGTGTACCCTGCCCTATGGGGTCCCTGTGAGTTGGAATTGCCTTAATTGAAGTGTGCCTGGTTTGGGTTATTAACCTTAAGGGCAGCTCTAAGGGGGGAAATGGGCAAGAACTGTGTTGTGTTACCAACAAAGAAGCAAGTGGTTCGAATCCACCAGTTGCTACGTGGGAGAAAGAGAGAGACTCTCCTCCTGTGCCATTTATTACCTCAGAAAACTCACTGGAAGGTCGGCTAGGAGTCCATTCTCATTCAACAGCGATGAGAGAGAGAGAGAGAGAATGGGGTCACAGATGTGGGTATGTGACTGAACACTGCTGTGTCATTATTATGTGGAGCATGACTGCACAGTCCACTCAATAACCACTACATCAATGTGACAATTTCTAGAACATCACAAAAAAAATTCTAAGTCTTCAGTAAAAACAAAATATTATCATTACATCAAATATTATCATCACAATTAGGAATGAACAAAAGCAAACTAATTTTGAGCTGGTTGAGCTGCATTTAAAAGATCGAAATGCAGATTTGACGTACGAAAATCAAGCCCTCACTTATATACCGTACTGGCTGTCCTTCTATTCGGTTACTGTGGATATATGGAAGAGTCATTCTGAATTCTCACCAGTAGGGAAAATCATCCATCAAAATTACACTTTCGTGGTAGTTCTCTTAACATTCTCTTTCAGTCAATAGTATTCAGTTGTATCGTTCTTCCTCTTTTCACATACTTTTACATATTTTAAACCCTGTATCTAGTTTCTCAACTTAAAACTATCTGTGGATTGATTTCATTTATTGTCAAATTAGTTACTTATTTATCCTTCCTTCAAAAGGAAGACACACACACATATATTTATTCATGAAAAAAGATGAAAGCAGGTACAAAATCGATCCTTTTATTGTTAAATATGAAAAAATCATTTTCAAATCTAACGAAAAATAATCTAAACTGTAGTTATGGAAAAAAACAATGGATAACTATCAATCAGGATAATTTTAAAATACAAATAATTATATTGTGATGTCTATATTAAAAATCCTAATAAAATTAAGTAAGAGATTTTATTTTGAAATCAGAAAACTCTCACCATCAGAAGGCGGACACAGTCCACAAAGGATATTCATGAGCGTACTCTTTCCTGTTCCACTGTGGCCAAGTAACGCAGTAATCTGACCCTCATATATGTCAAATGACAAGTCTATTTCAGGACAAACGAAGAAGAATCAATTATGATTTTCACTTACGTTCTGTCATGCAAAATAAATCATGATGTTTGAGCATTCTTAAAAGCAGGCAATAAATTCAAAGCCAGGTTTAACATTTTCTGTAATATTTTATACCAGTAAAAATCAAAATCAAACTTCTTTGTTATAGTTAATAAGAAGCAACAGGAGGACAAGTGAGATCAGACTTCTTTACACAACCACCAGGATTCAGGGAGCACGGAGGAGCTTTGGAGGCCTTCCCTGTACCCACCGTTGGAAACCCCTACAAGAATTTAATAAGCATAAAACCAAGTATTTCTTCTCACAGAAGCTATTTATGGGCATAATAAATAAATGGATAATAAACTAGAAACTAGGTGCCAGTTCAGAAATGCCTAACTAAATGCTTTGTGAGAAAAGAGGAAAAGTAATAATAGATCAATGAAGTACCAAGATTTGTGCGGTGGTTGTTGCTGTGTACTGCAGAGGTGGAACCGACCCATAGCTAACTCTCCAGTGGGTTTTCAGAGGCAGTTAATCACACAGGACGAGACTGCCCATCCTTCTCCCGTGGAACAGCTGATGGTCTCGAACTGCGTGCTTTCAGGAATGCAGTGCAGCTTCTTGCCAGTAGGCCAGCAGAGCTCCCTCATATGGACAGGATGCTATTCTGACGACACCATCATTAAGGCCGTTCTTCCCTATGTCAAATATTTTTTCCAAGTTTTCATTATAATTGCCTTTTATTGTCAGTTTCTTTATGAAATTGAACCACAATATTTGGAAACCAGAACTGAGGAGGCCTTCAGCACGCTACGCACTGCAACACTGCATGTCCTTCGTATTCTTAAGACGGATGTATGGAAAAGTCCAGCCTGTATTGAAGTTCATAACTCAAGAGTGTTTAGGTTACAAATACCACAGAGCACAGGTGAGTTAAGAAGAAAAACTTCCATGAGCAATGCAGAAGAAAGGCAGAACTACCTCACTGAAACCTCTTCACTGCTGTCAAGTCAGAACACAGGCAGTAGATGGCATGGGAGGAGACTGCCCATCTTTCTCCCACAAAGATGTGGTGGATTCAAACCGCAGTCCTTTGGGTTGTCAGCCCAACCCCTTACCACTATGCCAGATCTGAATGCTGTTCTGTCCTGGGCCAACCTCACAATCTCCGACATGCTCGAGCCCATTGCTGTAGTCACTGTTGTTAATCCACCTGGTTGAGGGTCTTCTGTTCTTTCCCCGTTTCCCTCCCTTTCCCAGCATGATGACCTTCTCCAAGGAACAGCCTTTCCTAGCAACATGCACAGAGTGAGATGAAGCTTCACCATCGCTGTCCCCGAGGAGCATTCTGGCTGCATCTTCTCCAAGACCTATCTGGCTGTTCTTCTGGTAGACCATGGGACATTCTTCTCCAACACAGCAGTTCAAAGGCATCAATGTTTCTTCTGCCATCCTTCTTCACTGTCCAGTTCAGCAACACAGCCAAGAGAGTGAGAAGACTATGGTCTGAATAAAGCATAACTTAGACCTCAGGCTTCCATCACTGCTCCTCAGTAATTTGTAGAGGTTTGCCAACTTTCCCAGTGCAATACTTCTCCTGAACTGCTGGGATCAAGTGTACTAATTGTGGATCCAAGAAAGATGAAGTCGTTGACAGTTCCAACCTTTTCTCCATCTCTAACAATGTTGCCTAATGGTCCAGAGGTTAGAACTTCTGTCTTGACAGTGAGATGCGATCCATATTGAAGGCTGCAGTGTTTGGTCTTCGGAGGCAAGTGTTCTAAGTCTCCCTCACTTTCAGCGAGCAAGGTTGTGTTGTGCAAGATTAGACCAAAAATCCAACTCAGTAATATGTGCACACATGCACGATGATGAAAAAGGGCAAACACTCGTTCACATACTTGAATATACTGCATATAGATTCCTTTGGTTTTTACAACATTGACGTGCTACTGTTGTTATTTTTATAATGGACATTAATTAAATAAATGAAGATATTCCTAGATTAAAAATTGTGGCGGAAATTTTTCATTTCCTATGAAGGCACACGATTCGAGGCGACCAGTGGCTCCACGGGAGAAGGATGGGCAGTCTTCTCCCAGACAATTAACTGTCTCTGAAAACCCACCCGAGGGTCAGCCATGGGTCGGTTCTGACTGTGTTGTATACAACAAAAATAATAACATCATTTGCACTTTAATACTCTTGACTGAATATGAGAAAAGTTACTTACTTCTCAAAGCTTCCACAGTTTCACTTTTCCTTTGGTATGTCTTCTGAATGCCACTGATTCTGAAAAAGTTTTATATTGTAAATACTGAAGGTGATCTATATGTACATTTACCTCTTCAACATTTATGTCAAAGTAGTCCTACTTGTTTTTCCTTGTTCTTGTTAGACACAATCAAGTCAACCAGGACTCTTACGGACCCCACAAACTATTTTTGCCATCATTTAACACCCTCTTAAGACAACAGGGAGTTCTGGTGGCATGGTCCATAGAGAGCTGCTCAGCTAAGTCTGGGGCAGTGTCTCTCTGACGATCCGAATCCACCCGTGGCTCCGAGGAGAAAGATGGACAGTTTCCCCCAGTGTGAGCTTACAGCCGAGAAACTCACTGGGGGCTCTGTTACGAGTCAGTTATAACTTGACGGCAGTGAGTACGATAATGAACAAAAAAACCCTGGCAATTTAAAAATTATTTTAAAGTTATAAAGGTATAGAATTCCTCTTGATCTTTTTTTTTTTTTTTACTTTCGTGTGAGTTGTACCGTCAAATCAGATCTGACTGGTACTGGAGGAGATCGTCCCTCATTCCCCGGCAAAGCATCTGGTGGATTCGAACCGTGCGCCTCTGGGATTGTAGTTGCAGCTCATTGCCACTAGGACACCAGAGCTCCCCAGAATTCCTCTTGATTTTAAATATCATTCACTCACTTTTCATGTCAAGACTAAAGGAAATTTTTGAGTCTAGCAATTTGTGAATTCTTTGCACTTTTGTTTTGTTTCTGTTTGCAATTAAATGTTTACTCCACCAGCCAAAAGGGATATAAATAAAATGCAGTATTTCATTCATGTCACCACGACTGTCTACAAACATGAGGCCATTCCCTCATTCCACATTAGACTTTGTGCCATGTAATTCTTTAAAGAATTAATGATTCTGCTAAGTAGTTCAAATTGTACTCCTGGGAAGGCAAACCACTGCGGCTTCTGTGGATATTCACTGTGCATCTAAGGAAAATGAAAGGCTTGACTACTTCAGTCTGTGTTTCCTGTGTTTTGACTTCAATCTTTTCCTGTGCCTACTGATCCCACTTTGAGGACTTCTGTTTACTTGATATTGAGATAGCATGCATTCGGAAGGCTGTAGTATTTGACCTTCTTCACCAAGTATTCCACGTCTCCTCATTTTCAACAAGCAAGGCGGTGTCATCTGCATAATGTAGGTTTTACTGATGAGTCTTCCTCCAATCCTGGAGCCACATTCTTCTTACAGCCCAGCTTCTCAGGTCATTTGCTCAACACAGAGACTGAACAGGCATGGTGAAAGGATACAGCCCTGGTGGGTACTACTCCTAACTTTAAAACACACTCGATGTATCACCATGTCCGGGCAGAAAGACTGCTTCTTAGTCCACATACATGAGCGTACAGGCAAGAGCACAATTAAGTGTTCTGGAATTATCATTCTTCTCACTCTTTTCCAGTCTAACTATGATCCACAATGTCCTAATGCCTTTGCATAGTCAATAAAACACGAGTAAATATATTTCAAGTATTCTCTGCTTTCAGCCAAGGTCCATCTGATGTCAACAATGGTATTCCTTGCTCCATGGGCTCTTCTGATTATAGCTTGAATTTAAGGCAATTTCTGGTTGATGTACTGCTCCAAATGTCTTTGATTAACATTCAGTAAGATTTTACTTCTATTTTTAGTCAAAGTTTATTACTCTTTCTAGATAAACAATAGTCGTTGCTGTTCAATGTTCATTGCCATGGAGTCAGATCTAACTCATAGCTGACCCTCCCGTGGGTTTTCAGAGGCTGTAAACTGCACAAGACTTCTCATCTTTCTCCCATGGAGCAAGCAGGTGGTGGATTCGAGCCACCCACCTTTGGGTTGGCAGCACGGCTTCCCACTCATGAGGCCACCAAAAGTAAGTAATAGAGAACACTGTAAAACAGTTTATGTGAACAATGAGTTTTATTACTTTAAAAATTTTACACTGAAACATAATTTCAAAGCTAGCAGACTAGTAGTAAGCTTAATTCTGAATGATTGAAGAAGAAATATAAAACTTTTAAAGGAAAGTAACCCATAACATGAATGCTGTGTCGTATAAATCATGACGTTGTCTACCAAATATCCTGAGATATGACAGTTAAATACATTAGTGAAAAGGTAAGGTTTAAATGGGCCAGATTCCATTAGCAGTTTTCTGGACAGAGTCCATCGTACCTTATGGCTTCTTTCCCCACAAATTCCGAAGAAACAGGTTCCACAATTTCATTAAAAGTAATACTCCCATTAACATTGCCTTCTGATAACTCCTTGTAATTTCTTTTGTTCTTTGACCAATATGATGGCTTCAGAAAATAGAAAGATGATCTCCTTAAACCAAATTCCCCTGAGAATGAAAACAAACACAAATTAGTACTCATAAATGATCATTTCTAGAAACCAGTCTTTAAGTCATAGATAAAGGCAGTGTCTGAAATACAGGACAACTTACATATGGATAAAATACTAAATCAATATTGCATAAATTTGAAATTTCATTGACAAATAATCCCAGCTACAAGCTTCAGGGTTTTTGAGGGCTCCTGGGAATCTAAAGGTGAGTAAAGTACATTCTGTGTCTTAAAGGAACTTACATCTTTCTAGTAACAATACACAGGATGATGGTAAGCATAATGTGTACACTAACAGAGTTCAAGAAGAGAAAGAGTTTCTGGCTTATTTCCTGATCTCCAGGGAATGTTTACTGAAGGCTCGATGGGTACCATCCTAGGTAGTTTTTGAAAATGTTTATGTTTGTTAGGTGCTGTCAAACCAACTAAGACTCATCATGACTCTGTAAACGACAGATCACAACCTTTCTCTGTAATGGACTTGAGAAAAGTAGGTACAGGTCCCGGGGAATAAATTTCAGAATCAGGGGAGCAGAAACTGAGAAGTTTGTAGAAGAAGTTGGTAGATGTGGCCAAAACAGCACATACTCGCTCTTTTCTTTCCACATGGTTAAGGTACAAGGTGTAGAAGATACTTAAGATTAAATTTAAAGCTTGAGCAATTAATATGAATGAGGGTACTCGTACTAGGACAAAAAGTTGACTCTCCGTGGGTACAACATCCTACATAACTTTGCAATAAAATTCAATAATCACCTGCATACCTGGAATGACCTGATCAAGATAGATAGCCAAAAGGACGTAAAATATACTATTAAGTGCCAGCAAGACAAGAGTGATAATAAGAGGATATGGGCCGTCGGTCAAATTAGTAAACAAAGCACCTTCATTAAAATCTTCTAACTGCATGACCTGAAAAACAGAAGCATCAATTTTATTATAATTAAAAAAGCAAACATTGACACTACTTAGAATTATTCTATATTTCCAAACTGACAGTAAACAAAAGGAGCCTGTAAGAAATGAAATAACGCATCCAGACTGTGACACAAATTCAAAGGAGAATAATTATTACTCTCTAAAGTATAGTTTTACCACAACAATTCTCTTTAATCATGTTTTAAATGCTATGTTTCTTATACTAGGACACCTCCAAACAGGTACACTTAATTCTAATGCAATGACTACAATATGTAATAAAATAAAGTATGATAATCACAGGAACTAATGTAAACAAAAGGGAGCTCTGGTGGCCCAGTGGTAAGAAACTGTGCAGCAGCAATCCCAAAGGCATGTGGTTCTAATCCTCTGGGTGCTCTATGGGGAAAGGATGGGCAATCTCCTCCCATGAGATTTACTGTCTCTGAAAAACCGCTGGAGAGTCAGCTATGCATTGGTTCCAACTTGATGGTACACAACAATGACAAAGCAAACAAAGGGAGCTCTGATGCCTCGTGGTAAAAAGCTGCACTGCAAGGCCAAAGGCACAAGGTTCAAATCCACTAGCTGTTTCATTGGCAAAGGTTTCTCCTTCCATGACATTTACTTCCTGTCTCTAAAATCCCGCTGGAGGATTACATATGTGTCATCTATAGATTAGTTCTGACTTGACGGCACACAACAACAATGCAAACAAAGGGATTATAGTCCACAGAACAGTTAAACTAAGCTTCAGAAGATAAATTTATATTCAACATTGTTCCAATACTGAAATGAGGGAAAAGTACTGATAAATGGAGAATTTTATAAATGTAAAACTTAAGAAGAAAGCAGGGAAGTGAGTGTTCTTTCTAATGTTGAAATATTAAAACATTTTTTTCTATATTAAAGGCATGCAAAATGCTAGACGGAAAAGCCCTACTGGCATAACGGTTAAGTGGATGGCTTCTAACCAAAAGGGTGGCAGTTCAAATCCATCAAAAGACTATGAGATACAAAGACTTTGCAATCTGCTTCCAAAGGAGAACCCACTCAGGGCTGAGCCTCTCTGGGCTTCCCGGGCTGTATATCTCCTGTGGGGATGTGAACTGCCAGAGGTGTGGTCTTTGCGATATCAGTGCAACCCCCTAGGGATTAGTCCATCAACATTCTTTCCATAGGACCTGTTGTGTTGTTGTTATGTGCCATCAAGTCAAAACCAACCCTTGGCTGACCCTCGAGTGAGCTTCCAGAGGTGTTAACCGCACAGGAGAAAACTGTCCATCCTCCTCCCACGGACTGCTGTGCAGCTTCTTACCACAGCTCCATGAAGACCTCGGGAGGGAGAGGAGAAAACAACCCCTTTGGAGCCACTCTACTCTTTAACACGAGGTTACGGTAAGTCTAAATGGACTCAATATTGCCTAATCGCATCAACAGCATGCTAGCATGCTACATGGAACTGGAGATGAAGGGAAATATTTAAGAAATACGAGGTAAACGGCGTTTAGGGCTCTTGTACATAGGGTCGCTATGAGTTGCAAATGACTCAATGGCACATAACAACAAAAACAACAAACCAGACTTAATGTATAGCCAGTACATTATAGTTTTTTGGAAAGAATTGCAGTACATAAGCACATTGGCTCACATACATTTCTACATTTTTATCCCAGAAAGACCTTCTTCAATGTCTTGGATAAGGCACTTTTATCTACTTGGTTTCAAGACTTATTCATTCCTACTTTTCCGCCTCTCCATCCTCCAAGACCAAAAGTTATAAAGTCCTTTCATTTTAGGCTCCTAATATGTAGATGATTTCTTCATCTATGCTGATTCCAGTCCTGCTGCACTGAGAAAAATGGGAGAAACTGAGAGTAGGCATCTTTTTAAGTCTCTTGTTTACACTATCTCAATAACTTAATAAAGGAATTAATAATTAAAAAAAAGAAATACGAGGTAAATAGATTACCCACCTGAGCAATACCAATCAAAAACGTGCACTGACAGAAAGGGCTCAGAAGCCACACGAGCGATCTGGGAAATCCTTCCATCAGGACTATCAAAAGGCCAACAAATCCAAAAGCCACGGTGACTAAAAATTCAACGATTCCTACATGCTTTGATTTCTTAAAAAGAGGCGTCAGCATTAATGCAAAAAACACCTGTAAAAGAAATACTATGATTAATGTGTTGTTCCTATACTTTGGTGTGAAAATAAAAATTAAAATTTTGCTTATGAGTACACATTCTTTTCAATGGAAAATACACGCACTTAAAAATAATTTCTTTTTTTTTAGATGTATGAACACCCATATTTATTGTTGCATTATTCACAATAACAAAGAGATGGAAGTAACTCAAGTGTAAAAATAATTTCTGACTGTGATAGTTAAGAGAGTCTCACAGAAGAAAATACTGAAACTTATTGAGAATTTTGCATTTTATTTATACCAGTGGCAAATAGAACCACCTCTACCCTCAGAAACCATGAAGAGCTGTGCCCTGAAGTTAGATCTGTGTGCACACAGGGAAACAAAACTATCTTTAAATCGAGGGCTCAATGTGCTGACAGAAAGAGAACCAAAACGAGGCAAGTGTATGAGTAAACACAAATTCTTTTTATCATTTTTTAAAAACAGAAGACTAGTACTGCATGGCCACATAAAGCCACAGGAATGCATACTGGGGCCAGTAAAAAAAGGCTGGTAACTAATAGCCAGCCTCAGCCACATGCCAGATGGGTAACAATGTGTTGTTGTTGTTGTTGTTGTTGTTGTGTACCATTGAGTTGGAACCACCCAGAGCTGACCCTCAGGCAGGTTTTGAGAGGCAGTTAATCACACAACATGCAAGAGACTTATAAAAAGACAGAGCCTTAAGCATCACTGTTGCATAATGTAAATTATACTCTGAGACACATAGGATTTCATAAAAATAAAATTTCCATATTGGGGACAATTTTAATTATACATGATTATGTGATGATAGCAAAGGATTCAGGGGAATCCTAATTGTGAAATACATCCTATGAAACGAAGTTAAATTTAAACCTGAAACTATTTGTACGGCATCGATGCTATGTGTACAAAGCATTCATCAGTAACCTAGTAACTATCTTTCATGGGATACACAAACTACAAATAAAAACAACAACGAACGGTTTGGCCATAGTAATTCAATTATTTCCCAGTGACTTAGTGGTCCTCTTTCAGAGGAAAATACTTACGGATGATAACCCATACAGGAAAAAAAGTAGAAATATCACAAAACAGCTACTTTGTGGAAATAATGAAGAGGCTGTTGCAATGACCGCCATAAGAAGGGACATTAGGAAAATCAAACTTGTGTACAAAAGAACCCAGGAAAGCCTGAAATGAGAACGTAAGTCCATTTGTGATTAAGAGTCAAAAACCACTTCAAAAATGTCAGCATCATTTTAGCTGTTTTCATCTAAACATTAAAATCCAATTATCTACATGTTTATATAATGAATACTATTCATAAGTAATCCAAAATACAGTACTGGTTAAGTTAGAGGTAAAAGTATAATCTGATTGAAAAAGAAAATATGCAAGGATTTTCTCTATCTCACATTGTTTGGGATGTTGTCAGGAGGGTCTAGTCCTTGGAGAAAGACATGCTTGGAAAGGCGGAGGGACAGCTCAGAAGAGGAAGACCCTGGATGAGACGAACTGACTCAGTAACTCGGCGAAGAGGGGAGGGTGTTGGTGACAGTGAGACTGGCTGAGCATAGGACAGTATTCAGAGCTACTGTATGTAGGGTTGCTATGAGACACAGGCCACTCGAAGGCACATGACAACAACAGAGCTAGCCAGCAATCTCTGTGAGTATACCTGTTCCTGACTTCACTAGCACAGAACCCGAAGATTTCCACTTTAAAGAAAAAAGATGAAAAGCAAAAACTGCCTTCAGCGTTTGTTCTGCAGCGGGCCAGTGAGCTCAGGAGAGCACGGTGGCTCTGCCAAGTGCCTTCTCTGGGGGACACGCTGGGCAAGCCGGCGTCAGCTGCCACAGCTGTGAGGCATACCCGTGAAAACCGTGTTGGTGTTAAGTTAGGGTTTATGTGTCACGTGGTGTTATTCAAGCATTTATTTTTTGGGTCGGGGAAAGCTCAAAAATAGTTTCCCGTATAAATTACTGCTAAGTGCTTCTTCACTGTATGCCACTGCGGTTTAGGAAGCTTCAAGGAAACACTCTACTTTTGTTTTGGAGGGTAAGGGGTAGAGGCAGGGACTAGATACAATCAACATTTTGTTTTATTTTACTTTTATGAAAATAGAAATCCTGGCACTCAAGAAATTATGTGTTTAAAAACATCTCCTAATATTATAGGAAATGAAAAAGAATGAAGAAAATTTGTTATGTACAATGACTTCACTATAGAAAGTGTAAAAATCAGCTGTTACATTGGGCTACGTTGAACGACATTTTCAGACTATGGCAGGTGCAAGAGGAACTGAACTTGACTGCTATTACAGTCAAAGGTGGAGAGGCATCTTGGAAAAGATGTCAGGCTGACTATCACTTCCTAAAACCAGGCATTGAAAACTCTGTGGAGAGCTGTCCTAGTCTGACACATTCAGGGCTGCTACCAATTAAGACTGACTGAATAACAAGTGGGTCTTTTTATTCTACATGGACGTTAAAACAGACCAATTAATTGCAGCAGCAGGTTGGCTCGTCTTAAATTTTAAGGTAAATGCAATTGTAAGAAAACAGGATCCACGGCACATCAACTCAGGTAGGTAGCAGAATTGAAGGTTTGCAGATGATACGTAACTATTAATGACATTAGACAATGAATGTTTAATAACATACCAAAAGGCAGTATCGTGAAGTCCCATTATCTTTAAAAATTCTTTTAACTTCTTTTCTTTTTCTGCTACAATATGAATGGCCAAAAAGTATCCAAAAGGTGAAAATGCGATAACTAGGTATATTAAAATGACACCTCGAGGGAAGATATCTATTTCTACAACAGCAGATTCACCCATGATAACAGCTTTAGTCGACTCCAGTTCTCCCCAAACAGAAACATTGGTCTTCAACTACAAGAGAAAATATCAACACAATTAATATGGTTCTGACAGTAGCCCCTGATAAAATGTGACTTCTACTCCTATATTTAGTAACTCAAATGTAATCTTCAAAAAGCTACAACCCTGACGCTAAGTGGCTGACCCCAGTGCCATGATATAGAGAAAAATACTGGTTTTCGTTTATCCAGGAGGCATATCTTAAATACTAAAGTTTGAAGCTGCAAACTATATAGACTGGTTAGAGTTTTTTTTTAAATGTAATTATCATCTTAAGCAATGACATCTTAACAAAAATGTATGTCTCAAAAGAAAGTAGGCAACAATGAATGACAAAATACCACGAAATAGCAGAAGTGAGCTGAAATGCGACTGTATTGGCCATCGTGAACTGGACAATTATACGTTCGACAATGCCAGTAATGACAAACTGAAGACCAGGGTTGTCCCATTTTCCTCAAAAAAGCACATTTCAAGGTCTGTCTTGAAGTACTATGCTATAAGTTATAAGATAATAATCACATGTATAAAAGGAAGATCAAGTAATATGATTATTATACAAATTTATGCATCAAGCCCTAAAGCCAAAAATGAAGACACTGAGGATCTCTATTAACCTCTGCAGTCTTAAACTGACTATGCACTCAAGACGTATCAATAAAAACTGGTAACTGGAATACAAAAAGTGGAAACAAAGAAGAAACTGGAATTTGGAAAATAGGGTGTTGGTGATATGAGGTTGGAAATGGCAAAATGGAATTTTGTACAAGTAAAAACTTACACGGTAAAAAAAAAAAAGTCAAGGATTCTGAAGCTTCATCGGACATATTTTGGGCATGTTGCAAAGAGGGACCAGTCCTTGGAGAGGGACATCATGTTTGGGAGGGTGGAGGGACAGCGCAGGAGAGGAAGACCATTAATGAGATGGATCGATTCAGTGATTGGGATAGTGGTAGCAGGTGTGTTGGAGACAGATTTGCACAGTATAGAGCAGGGTCACTACATAGAGCTGCTATGAGTTGCAAGTAACTCGAGGGCACATAACAGTAAACAACAACAATTTTATATATTTTTACTACTATACAGAAAAGCAGTTTGATACATATAGATACTTGGCTTATGGAAGCACGCTCCAAAATTTAACTTAGATAAAATATCTTATTAGTACTTTGCTGAATATTTATAGAATAAAACATCTGATACAGTTAAAAAAAAAGATTAATGGCAACTTAACTATACAAATGGACCTCAGCTGATGAAGAATCAAGTTAACTACATTTGTTGAAAGAAATAGTGGAGAATTTTAATACTATCAGTCAGAACAAGACCAAGATCTGACTGTGGGATGAACAGACTATCAATGAAAAAGGATGACAAAAGGAGACTCGGTGCCTTGAACTGCGGTGCTGGAGAAGAGAACGGACCATCCCGTGGACTGCCGAAAGAACAAGCATGCCTGTCACGGAAGGAGTGCCACCAGGGTGCTCCTTTGAAGCAGGGACGGACGCACCAGTCCTCAGGAAAGGACATAATTCTGGGAAAGGTAGAAGGTCAAAGAAAAGACAGGAAGACCTTCAACAAGATGGACAGACACAGTGACTCTAACAAGCCTGAGCATATCAGACATGGTGACAGCGGTAGAGGGCAGGGCAAGGTTTAGATCTGTTGCTCAGAGTTGCTGTGAGTTGTGGTTGGCTCAACGGCACCTAACAACGTGTTCAAACTCAAACTCAAACTCACTACCACCCCGTAAGCCAGTGCCAAGTCACAGAGTCCCTCCCTTGGGTTTCTAATGCTGAAAATAGTAACACTACTTCCTACCCCACGGACGCCAAAAGAACAAACTGGTAGGTCTTGGAGAAGGCACAGTCAGAGAGCTCCTGAGGGGCAAAGATTCTAAAGCTTCATCCCGCATGCTCTGGGCTTGTTGCTAGGAGAGATTATTCCTTGGGGAGGGATATCATGCTTAGAAAGGTGGAGAGGGGAGTTCTCGTGGCCTGGTGGCAAGAAGCTGCACTGCAATTCCAGAGGTGCATGGTTCGACTCCACCAGATGCTCTGCTGGAGAAGGAGGGACAATATCCTCCCATACCAGTCAGATCTGATTTGACGGTACACACACAAAAATAAAATTAAAAAAAAAAGAAAGGATGGTAAAAGAGGAAGACTCTCACCATGGGTAACACAGAGACCGCAGCAATGGGCTCGAGTGTGCCAGAGATCGTGAGAATAAGACAGTTTGGATCTGTCATTCACAGGGTCACGATAGGTCATACTGGACTCAAGGACACATAGAACAAATAGAAGTAGGAAGAAACTGCCATCTTTTTCCTGAGTAGTTGCTAGTGGGTTCAAAACACTGGCGGATCTGAACTGCAACGACTCGGGGTAAGAAAATCAAAACAACATACTTGGCATTTCTCAGGCTGAAGCAACTGCAGAAAGACGTAATGCTTGGAAAAGTGGAGAGTCAACCAAGAAGAGGAAGAACTTCAACGACACCATGACTAGAACAATGGGCTTAGGGACTGCGGAGGCTGGGAGCCTGGCACAAGACGCAGCATTTATTTCTGTTGTACCAGGGTCTCTATGAGCCAGGGCTGACCTGAAAGCATCTAACAATCACCTCTGGGGCATGAACATGCAAATAAAGTGTGCAGACTACTAGCTATGGGATTGGTCAATTCTGCAATCCCACTAGGCTTAAATTGAGCAGACACAGAGGCAAAAAACGTGGAATCTTACTATCACCAGGAAAGAAGCGAAAGAGTGTGATGAGTCCTGTGGGCTGGAGATGCCTGCGCAATCCTGAGACTTAGCAGCACCGCTAGTGATCATCAGATGTGGCAGAAAGCAGACATAGGTGTGAGACAGCTGATGTGGATTTGCAGTCCCACAGAGCCAGAGCCTTGCACTGTGGCCTTGAGGTACAAATAACTGGCAGAACTAAAAGCTTGTGGTGGTGGCCTCATGGGTGAGGAGTTGTACTGCCAAGCTGAAGACACACGGTTCAAATCCAGCAACTGCTCCAAAGAAGAAAGCAGGCCAAACTCCTCTGGAGAATTTTATAGACTCTGAAAACCTACTGGAGGGTTAGGTATGAGTCAGTTCCATCTTGACAGCACATAATAACAACAAATAAAAGCTTCACAGCACTAGGCCAGAGGTGCGGGGCCCAGGGCCACGAGGTTAAGCAGCCGGAAGGTCTGCCTGCTAGCACACCAAAGACGTCTCAACCCGCAGAAGTGTTTCCAACCTGCACTTCCCTGATTAGCCCCATAATCCCGAGGATTGTCTGTGAGTTGTGTCATCCCTGCAGTGGATTAGTACTGCTAATAGCAGAGTAGATAGAGCCGTGGGAGGGAAGGATGGTGTCAGGATTGAGAGGAGTAGGTGTGAGAGCAAAGCAGCACGTCTGACTTCACAGACATAAGTCCTACGCTCTTCATGTTGCTGATGGGGATTCGTCCCTCCTGTGGACTTAGTGGTGGTCACACGGTGTCACCGCCCTGCCAACTGCATTGTTCTTACACTGTTTCAGTTTCAAATGTGAAAACTGATGTAATAGCAGAGTTTATCTTGTAATGTTTTATATAAATTAAATGGGTCAGTCAATATGCATACACGTGAAGAAATGGTCTTCAGTAAATAAACCCATCCTAATTATTTAAAATAAAAGTAAATGTGCTACAATAATTAAGATAATAAATATATGCAGATTTTTTTAAATAAATAATTTTTATTCTCAGGGGAAAGTCTGCAAATAGAGCTACTTCATTAATACTACTGTGGAGCTGGTCTTTCTGTGTGGTTTTTCCAGTATAGATGACTATGTTGAGGGACCAGACTGTGCATGTGCGGTGTGTCAGCCTATCCACAAAGGGACTGGCTACTAAACCATTCCACAAGGGGAATGTCCAGTCTCAACAATCTACAAAGGGATTGGCTAGTCTCACCAAGAAATTGAACAGTTCTCGCTGCAGAGCAGGAATTCTTTGCCCACAAGAAGGGATTCTTCTCACACCCCAAGAGATGGGATTCTTCCTCTACACGGAGAAGAGAAACCTCCCCCAATCCAGTAAAAATGTAGGCTATGCTTTGGGATGGCAACAGCAGTGATGGCTGAACAGGAGAACTGGATGTGAGATGGGACTTCAGGGGGAGAGGAGCCAATAACTGGTAAGACTGAGAACTCGGGTGGACAGTTACCGGGGAAGCTAATAGTGGCAGGACTGAGGACTTCGGAACTTAGAGCCACGATGCTGAGATGCCCACATGCACATTTTCAGAGCTTTTTTTTTACTTTATTTTGCTATTAATCTGAATTAAAATCATTTAAGTCTCCTAATATGGTTCTGTGTGGTCTGTGAGCTGTCACATTGGATTCTGGACCCAGCCAAGCAGTAAGAATGGTGGTGGGATGAATATAAAGAGGCATGGGAGCGTGGCGGACTTGTCTGACCGCAGGGGAACTGGTTTTGTGTTACAGATGCTATGGGTGGGGATAGTTTCCTCCTATTATGTTGGTAAAGGTCAGATATGGTGCTCCTCAAGTGGTCCTTGATCTTTCTATGACTTTTTACCTACAATAATACAGATATATAAAGGCCGACTCACATTCTTAGAAATAAAGTTTCAAGAGTATTAAATCATAAAATACATGTCTTTGATCTTTTTACGACTTTCTACCTACAATAATACAGATATATAAATGCCGACTCATATCCTTAGAAATAAAGTTTCAAGAGTATTAAATCATAAAACACTTTTCCTTAATTTTTTCATAAAGTTGTAAAAAGTCACCCACTTTACATATAGGACATCAGTCAAACAAAACTCTGTTTTAAAGATGAAGACACAGTTATTAAAATGATTTCACTTTCATTTTCTTCGTCATATTTACCTCTATAATGGCCGCATCTATGGATGCTTGTAAAGCTGTAAACCCTGATGACCAGTACTGAGAAGACTCACATGATTTTGAGCAGCCCGCTGTAGGGAGACAAGTGTGAGTGGAAGGTTTCACATGGCATCTACATGCCTTCTTTCAAAGAAAACATACAGATGATTACCAAAGAACTATAATTACTAAATCTCTACTGTAACAGAGAAAATAAACTATTGTCTTACTAATATAAAGAGAACATTCCTGCCAGCAATTTGAAAAGCTGAAATAAAGATATTTCAAGTATGAAGATATTGAAAATCTTGTGGAAATAGAAAGGAAATTAATTATAAGCATAGTTATTTACAATAAGTCACTTTTTTGTTTTAAGCAATAATTTGTCAACTCTGAAGCACCTTCAGAGGAAAGTTAGAGAACAGAAGAAGAAAGACAACCTACTTTTCCTTAAGAGGTTTTTTGGAACTACATCATAATTTCATTATGTAGCAGAGATTTTGACATTACTCAATAAATGTTTGCAGCTGATGATAATATCTCTTCAGTTTAAGGACTGAAGTCTGTTTTCCATATTTCAAATTGAATTACAGTAACATTTCATTGGTGAAAGAGCTTGCAATTTTAAAGACATGTTTATGGTCTATGGCAATATCATGTGAAAACAATTAAATAAAAGGAAAAATGTAGGTTTAGAAAGCCACACAGTTCAAGCTAAAATTTTGCTTTCTGTTACTATAATCTATATAGAATATACACATATATTAAAATTTTAAAATGGATATAATCTATTTTATTATGAATCATATACTTTGGGCATGTTGCTCAGAAAGATTGTTCCTTGGAGAATAGTATCATGTCTGGAAAGGTGGAGGGTCACCAAAAGAAAGGAGGACCCTCAACCTAGTGAGGTGAGATGGTTAACTGCAGCAATGGGCTTGACGGGGCGTGTCAGAGATTGTGAGGATGGTACAGGATAGGACAGGGTTCAGACTGGTTATTCAGAGAGTCATTCTAAGTCAAACTCAACAGCATCTAACAATAACGCGTGTGTGTGTGTGTGTGTGTGTACTACACCTGATAAATGTTCCTATATGAACGGGTAAGAACAGCTGAAAACGCCAATGTTAACCCTCATCAAATTTTGCAAATAATCCTGACAACTTTAAATAAAATGAGTTACAATGTGGAAAACAAAAAATCTGCAAATAAACTGGCATGCCAAAGACATGCATTTGACTTATTTTCAATAATTCATTGAATTCTTTACCTCGTGAATCCATATAAGTAGAAGACACTGGAATCCTCTCAGGAAAAAAACGAAGTTCATATGACATGATGTCTTTGAAAACCACACCCACAAAGGAGGTAGATTTAGAAAGGCTGGCTGCTATCAATTCTTTTTCATTTGCATATTCTTCAATAGTTACTTCTGTAAAATAACACAACTACACACTTAACTCAAAAATGTTTAAATTTTACCATAATAATCACCCAGCATACAATTTCATTTGATGAGTGTAATACTTTAAGTATTGTTATTTTTTCTAACTTCTCAAAAAATGAATACAGCCCATCTAAGTAAATAATACAGAGAGCAAAGAACAGTATTATTGATACTATCATGCAACTGTCATTTTATTATATAAACTTTGTTTTACCATAAAGAAGTCAAGATATGACATAGTTTAAAACAATATGAAGAAAACATTTCACAAAAAATTATCTACTTAATGAACAGTACTACAATTTAATAGTGAGGAGTTTTACTACCCTAGTTTTCATATTCACTGTTAAATTTTATCTTCTCTACTCTTTTCTCTTTAAAATCCATGACCAATAGGCTAAATTTCTGGCACACTATTAAACTCAAGATCATAAGCAGTAGTCTATCATATAAGAAAGACTATAGTTCAATGCCCTCTCTCAAAGTAAAACTACATAAATAACTCTTTGATAAATAAATGGATATTTTATTTTTAAATATTTCTTCTTATGAATAAAAGGTTATAATCCTTACCAGAAACTAAGTAATATATTTATGTAACTATATGCAATTCTTCTTTGAATGTAAATTGCCATTTCAGTCTAATATTTCTTGTTCCTTTCTTACAACATTCCTTTTACATCTAATAATAATTTTTAAATTTTTTCTTGCAGCTTTGTTTATGAGCAATGAAGCTTTACAACAGAATATGTGGTGAAATACACAGGCCGAACATAAAAATGGTGTTCATTGCTCATTAGCGACATGAGCTCAGGGAAGTCATTCAGCCTCTGTGAACCCTGGTGTCCTCACGTATACATACAATCTAAATGCTCACACTAGAGTGTTTGAAGATAAAATACAGTAAGAAACATGAAAATGCTTTGTAAACTATATTATATATTAACTACCATGATATTCTAGACCTTTAAGATAGACTTGGAACTTCAGGAGTGACCTGAATAAACAGAGTATTAGAGTTCACTGTCCTACCAGTCATGCTATCCCGTGTGAGTGTATATCTCATTCTAAATTCATTCTGCTGTTAAAAAGATGGAAGTTATCTCTTTTTACCATTTTGGCACTGAAGTTAATACTTGCTGACTGGGTTTCTTTGGTATACATCTCTTCTTTCTATTCAGAATTAGCAATGAATTTCCTTCTCAACATCTTTGATCATTTTTTGAGCCTGCATGTTAAAATCTTGGGTCATCCATGTTATATGCATTTAATACATCAGTTAGCACACTATAGTACTAAAGTATTAAATAGCAGTAAGCCAAGAAAGAATGCAATGGCAAAAATATAACCTGATCCCTGAATATATAATTAATTCCTTTCATTTAGTGGCATACTGTTCAGTACTGTAATGATACACTCAAGGTGAATTAATTACAACTATCCAGTGTGACCAATGACTACACGTTAGTCTTTCTACAATTCCGTATCTATCACTGGACCCATAGCATAGACATTTCAGACACCTTCCCCAGTTCTTGCTTGACATTCTCTCAATAACCATTTCACTCTCATTAGTAGCTCACTGCTTACGTTTGAGGTCCATTCTTTGTGAAAAGTACAGACACTGAGAACAATAAGACATGGGTTCTTAGCTACAATCATAACCTCCAGCACTAAGTTCTTCTTCAGTTTACTGAACTGCCCCATGAGGAGGAGTGATAGCTTGTTGATTACTGCTTTATCATCTTTATCATGTATTTCTTGCTTCTTAACTATCAGCTAAGACAGAAAAAGTAATCTATTTGTAAAACTGTGCTTGAACTATTTTGAAGATGTTCTAACATTTAAATATAAAATATGAACATACAGTATCTAAAATTTTCTTCATCTTGCCAAGAAGAGAAATTGATTAGTTTAGGAGAAACAGAAAGGAGCCAAAGTAAATGACTAATACATGTATAAAACGGAATCTGAATGAAAGTACTTGTATTTCTATGAAGCAGAAAATATGGAAGCTTCATGTTCTAGGTGTTCCAGATTAAATACAGCCATAGAAAAGTTCACAATACCATCAAGAAGGTGGTCGGTAGACACTTTCTGCATGATGCTTCTTGTGATGTTCGTCACGGGAGTGTATCCGAGGACGAGGGTGGAGAGGACAGATTTGTCCAAGGTGTCAAGTTCTACATCAGGCACTTCTTCATATTTCTTATTTGGATGCAGCATGCTTATTAATATCAACCAAAATAAAAAGAAGAGTGGGAACAGAATTTCCTATAATAAAAGAAACAAAGTGATTTTTAAAATGTGATCGTGATAGCAAAAATAATCAAGATTTCTATTAAAATTATATCATTAATCATTTTTTTAATTTATTTTATTTCATTATTTTTTGTGTGTACAGTCAAATCAGATCTGACTGGTACAGGAGGAGATTGTTCCTCCT